TGTATTTGATTATGTTTATCTGCAGTTAATTACACGAATTCAGATATGGATCTTTAATAAGTTGTACTTACGCACAATCTACTTGTAATCTTGAGTTTTAAATAATATGCATTAATAAACAGTACTTTACACGTAAAAAGTGATTTTTAAAAGATTTTATCAAATGCTTTATAATATAGTATAGATTATGTGTTTTTAAGAAAACAATAATGATTTTATTTTTGAATAAAATATAAATTCGAAAAAATATATATATATCAATGTTAATATCAAATCAACGATTTAAAATATCTCATTTAAAATATATATTTAGATACCAGTCTAGAATTCAACCGCATTCCATCCTCTTATACTTTCACCCATTTAAAATACCTTATCTTGAATTAAGGTACTTTACTTGTCTCGTTATCGACTCCAGAACAAGACTGGTTACAGAGGCCTATTCAAGGCTGAACCCACCATTGAACTGGTTTTGCCCAAAAGTTAAAAAGACAAATATATCCAACTGCTAGAAATATGAATTAGGAGATGAAGATGATTACATTTACCCAAGAAGTCAAATAAGGTTTGTTCATGACAACACCTTCATCTTAACCAATTTATTCTTATCACTTTTTATATATATTTCGATTGATTTTGTATGAATTAAGGAATGATAGACATGAATGGATTACATCTGCGGTCTTGTTTGGACAACATAGATTTTGCCATCTCGTACCACGCCTTCGATATCTTGTGGAGATCCATATAACTTCTCGATAGCATCTCCTGCACGACCGATGTTTGAGAGGATCGACTTCTGGAAGTTTCCGTCAACCATCAATGGGTCACATGAGTAATCAAGTACAATCTTGTCTTCTTCGTCCATAGGCACGCTGCACGCATTAGCATTTATTCCCAGGTTATTGACATTGAACAGAAGGAAACAAAACAACAAAGAAGGCGAGGAACTCCCTTCTACAAGGAAGGAAAACAAAGGGGCCACACACAACCCTACTACGAAGAACAAGCCACGACCATCCGCAAGCTAAACAATACGAAAGTTACAACACCACCCGGAGAAACCGAAACCGAAACCAAAGAGAAGTAGAAGAAAACCAAGTGACGACAAAGGCTACCTGTTGAAGCCTTGACCCCTACACCAATCCAACCAATAAATGGAGAACGCATGTTGAGCGTTTGGAAACCCAAAAATAGCCGATTCTTCTTCTGACCAAATTCACTTTTTAGCCACTTTTTCAATTGAATTCTCATTTAATCGGAGTTTACGCAAATGTCTTGTGCATTTGTATAAACCCGATTTCAGATTTAAAAAAGAAAAAAAAAAATCTCTACGCAAATGTCTTGCACATTTGCATAAACTCGATTTTCAGATTAAGAAAAACTTTACGCAAATTTGCGTAAGGATCCAAATCTTTGCGCAAAGAAATTATTTTTTCTTTTTTTATTCTAAAAATAAGCTTTACGCAAATGTATAAGATATTTATGTAAATTCTAGCTAAAATAGGAATTTGGTTCAAAAATTGACTAAAAAGGTGAAGTTGATTAGGAAAATGGACTATTTTTATCAATTTCCCCGGTTATGCCCTATTCCAAAATTAAACTTTTATAGAGGTTCAAACAACCTACGATACCTCTCTTTTCAGTGTTCACAATACCCAGAAAATTTAATAAATGTGATTTATGTAAATAAATAAAAAAACTCATTGACGAAGAATCAACTTAGTGATCAGCTTAGAGCAACTTTAACAGCTATATTAAAATAGAAATTTTGGTGATTTATGGTATATTTTTGCTCTAACCGCTATGCTATAGCATATGCTAAAATAGAGAAAAGAATAGAGAGAGTAGAAATCTCCAAATTCGGCAAAATCTTAATTTTATTAATACTTAATTTTAAATATTATTTTTCATAATTAATAATATATTAATTTTATTAATAAAATTAATATATTAATTCTTTAAGTGTTGTATTCATAATTATTCAGAAAAATATTAATTAATAA